ACGCGTGGAAGCTGAATTCGAAATATTGAAGGATGAATATCTTTCCGTGATCCCCGAGTTAATAGTTTACCCGCAAAATTTTCATGAGGCTGTAGGTGATACTCATGAGCGCGAGAACGCTGAATTTAAATAGGCAAGGTTGAGCGTGAGCAAGGGGTCATTACCCTAAAATTTCAGCTCCCTAGACCCCGTGGTTCCCGAGATATTAATTTACCCGTAAAAAACTTTCACGGGGCCATATGTGTTACCCGCGGGTATGGGCAAGCTGAATTTAAATTTGCGGGGGTCACACGTGGGTGGGGAACGTTCCCCTAAATTTTCGGCTTCCTAGCTTTTGTGGCTCCCGAGTTGAAAGTTGCGGACAAGTTGCTGCGGACACACATACAAACACACACAGACAACCCCGTGACAATATGCGTTTTGTATTGCTGTTACACAGCACAAAACGCATAATAACCGTAAACTTGCATCTCGAGATCGCACTTCTGATGTAACCGAATCCAACGTGTAGAAGCATTTCGGTAATATCACAGTGGCATGGCAATCACAAACTTATTTATCGAAAACCAGAAAGTGCTATTTTTCGGTAAATCGAAAATCAGAAAATACTGCAAAATTAAACCATACTTTGGGAATTTTTCCAGCAGTGCTTTCAGTGGACCATACATTATATCTTTGGCAAAGAATGACTGTACAAGGTTCATTACCACATCCATTTGAGATTCATCTGTTATTGTGGCCGGATCTTGCTCTGTCAACCTCTAAAAAACAGACAATTCCACAAGACATTTATATTTTAAATATTCGTAATTAATCAAAAACACATTCGCCGCAAATGATAAGGTGTAACTGTGATGCTGAATAGGAATGTATGCAATTTGTGAGACCAAAACATTCCTGTCTTGTTGATTAATTCTTCTATTTTATGTATATCATTATTACAATCTCCATTTCAATGCCTTCAGAGTTCTCAGCTACCTCATCTTAGACTTTTTGCTGCTGAAACGAAAACTGGGATATACCGATTTAGCTCCAAAACTGGAATATACTGATTATTATTATGTAAGTATCAGGCTTTTCCAAATTTAGCCTCTGCCTTTCTTCCTCTTTCGAATTCTTTCTTTGTTAGGAAAAAAAAAACGACAAATGAAAAAGGCGGCTATAAAAATTCGGATTATTTAAGGTGTCGCCAAGGTAAAATAAAATAGGACGGTATCTCCAGATCATCAGGATACTCCCGTATTTCAAAAAAAGAGCTAATTTCAGCAATATCTCGGTATATGATTTTCTGCATGCGGTAAACTCAAAAGCGCGGGAAGTGAGAAAACTACTCGCCGCAATAAAAGAGTGAAGGAATTCAACGATGAAAAAATCGTTCATCAAATTACCTGGAATACTTGGAATGGTTGAATCTAAATTTCCATCTAAGTAAGAGTGGAATGAGCCAGCGTGCTAGTAATCACCATATTGTTATTTTAACACATTTTGGGTATGTCCAACCTTGCCGTCCAGCTTCTTTACCTGACAAATACTTCTTTATCATGTCTTTTACACCAGGACATATCTGTAGCTCGTCGCAATGCAGCTTACTGATACGTAAAATTCGCCTGTAATTAAAGTAAAATAACTTTTTACAAAAAAAAA